TGTGTGTGTGTGTGTGTGTGTGTGTGTGTGTGTGTGTGTGTGTGTGTATGTAATGCAATATATATGTGGAGCTAAATGAAATTCCTTTTCTGTTTAAACAGTCCATTGGCTGTCCAATTGATGGATAACTCTGATCTATATTCCTTATAGTGCTACCTTGAAGACTATCCTAAAGCTTCAGCTGTTCCATAATATAGTGGCTCACAGAGTTCCTGGCTATTCCTGATACTTCCATGTTACAATTACATGGATGTTGTAGGGGCTGCATTAGTTACCAGTGTGTTTGTGAGTGCAATTCAAGGTAGTGGTCACTCACTTTAAAGCCCTATAGGGCTCAGGGCTTGGAGAAATCTTTTCCCCCAGATACATTATGCCCACCTGGCGTGGGTAGCCAGAAAGCAGATATTCATGGTACCTCTTCTACTAGGAGATGTGATGGGATGGCATCTCAGGATTCTCTGTAGGGGCTCTCCTCTTATGAAACAGCTTACCTCCTCAAGATAAGGATGGTCCTGCATTTGTGGTCTTCCTTTCTGAAGCCTTTGGGAAAATATTGTGGAGCCACTGATGCCAGATGCAATTTAATTGCATTGTTATATTGTTATAGATGTTCTAATATATAGTGCAGTGTTATTGTATGTTATTATATAGCAAAAGCATTTAGACTTATATACTGCTTCATAGTGCTTTACAGCCCTCTCTAAGCAGTACGGAGTCAGCATACTGCCCCCAACAATCTAGGTTCTTATTTTACTAATCTCAGAAGGATGGAAATCTGAGTAAACTTTTGAGCTGCTCAGGATCAAACTGCTGGCAGTCGGCAGAGTTAGCCTGCAATACTGCATTCTAACCACTGTGTCACCCACCATTCTCATTATATTATATTATAAATTGCCAAGAATATGCTAGTTAACTTATACATTTTTATTGCTGTAGAGTATAGTTGATTAACTAAGAAATACATATCCAAAACACAAGAGATGAGGCTATTCTGTATGAAAAAAATGTCATGAAAGCCAGATATGATTTGTGACAGCCAGGTGTGTAGGATGCTGTCTGCGACCTAGTAGACAGGAAAGAAAGAATATCTGAATTCAATTCAAACAATGCTAATCTAACATGGCATTTGCCTCATGTAAGTGTGATTGAAGAAAATGGACTTGCCAATAAATACACATAGCAAAGTTAAAGAATTAGAGTGCTCCAAATTTTGCTTTCAGAATGCCCAACCAGCATAGACAATAACAAGAGAATTGTAAATCAGTACCATCTACTGGGCCACAACTTTTCCATCTCTGCTATAACGAATTGTGAACAGTAAAATCAAAGTCATATCTCATTATTTTCTCTATTAGTCTAAACACTCCCACCTCCCCAATTTCTTTAAGTTCTCTCCCTGATGTGATCTTGGGATTATAATATTACAGTGCCTTATAAGAAGGCAAATGAAAGTAAAGATTCATCTTACTCATCCAGCGTAGTTATTAAACGCCCTTAACATGTCATTATAGTAAAGAACAATAAATAAAGTGAATAAATGAATAACGTGCACATATTTCACAATACAATAATAGCATAATAAGCAATTATAGATCATCTAGTGAAAAGATAGAAAAAAATAAATAAAAAATACTTGGGAAAACCGTTCGAACTTCATAATAGGAGCCCATCTAATTTTTCGACTGAGTTTGATCGTGAAGATTTTTTCTTTATATAGAATGCCAGTCTTTGAAGCAGATCAGATTGGAAAACCAATGCCATGTAGGTCAGTGATACTTTTACTGTAAAGCTAGAGTAGCAAGATCTTAGCAAGTTGGAATGTGCTTCCACTCCTCCCTCTCTCAGTCTTTATATAAATTAGGGAGGGGCTTGTCTAAGATGTTTACTCATATTACATTCTTGCTCAGGCCTCGGGCCCTTCTGTGAGACTATTTACCTGGGAATGGTTCTTCCTCCTTTCTTTAAGACTTTTCCCTCTGCTCTCTACATAGAATCACTCCATTCGTCTTGTAACTAAGTGAATTTTGAAATAATTTCCTCACTGTTCATTATTAGAGAGTAGTTTTATTTGCACTATGGGTAGATTCTTCAGGAAACATTATAAATATGACACCAGGGCCCTTGCACATACGACATTTGTGCTGATCTTGCCTGAACATGATATCATTTTCCTCCCACAGTGCTATCCTCGGGTACTGAAGTTTATCTTCTCCTCATTCAGGTGCAGCATAGGTCAAATGGCAAAACTTCCAATTTGAAGTGAGCCTGGAGACAAGCCATTTTCCATTCAGATTCCACCCTTGCCTCATCTCGGGCTCTGAAACTTGCTGGTAGATTTACCTCATCTCTGCCTGAACTTGCTAATAGGTTTCAGTGGCAACCTTAATTCTTCAGTCGGTTTCTTCTCAATATCAGAATACCATTAAAAATAGGTGGCCTGATTTTCCTTGCTTATGTAAGCAGCATACACGAAAATCTTATTTTCTCTGAGTTCCAGTAGGACACTACCTTTCATCTTAGTCTCCTAAGGGCTGGACACTGAAACCTGCAAACATGACGTGGAAAACCATCCTTGAATGGCTATCCATTCATTGCAGTATTAGTGTCATCCAATCATTGCAGTATTAGTGAAATTTATAGATAGATAGATAGATAGATAGATAGATAGATAGATAGATAGATATAGATATAGATATAGATATAGATATAGATATAGATATAGATATAGATAGATCTTTGGTTATTCGGGTTTTCTCCTGCGTAAGATTGGAAGTATCTAGGCAACGTTTCGATGAAGTCTCATTCATCATCTTCAGGCTTGTGTCTTCGGCTCTGTGCTTCTCAGCCTGAAGATGATGAATGAGACTTCATCGAAACGTTGCCTAGATACTTCCAATCTTACGCGGGAGAAAACCCGAATAACCAAAGATCCACATACAAATACCCGTGAGAACCTCAGAAATAAATATATATAGTATTCAGCTTTGTTCGGGTTGTAGTTTTAAAGTTGTAGCAACGTTTCAGCAGAATCTCATCTGCCATCATCAGGCTTCTGTATTGTGTTCGTCTGTGAGTCAGACTTTCACAGCCGTTTCAGTTTTAAATTTGGTGCTAGCCTACTGCTGTACCAGAATGGTTTTTTTCTTCATCCAGATTGGTTGGGAGTCTTGGTCTGTGTTTATTGGTCTTGGAGTTTGCTGTGTTCTGCTTGATTGGTGTTTCTAATATCTTCTGTCTGTTTTGTAGCTTTTTTTGTCTTGATTGGCTGGCAACATTGTGTTTCCTGTATTGGAGGCTTTTAGTGCGGCCTGGCTCCAAGTAAACCGACGGCTATCATTTATTAGGAAGCTAGGTTTCATCTGGGTGCCTGGTTGGGGTGTGTTTGAGCTGGAGGTATCAGGGGGGATCTGTTTGTGTCGAGGTGTTTGCTTGGCTTGTGGTGTGGATATATTTTTGTTTGTGAGTGCAGGCTTTCAAATAATTGACAGTCTGGTGGAATCATCTCTTCTATTCATGCTTTCAGGTCTTTTTTCAACCTCTATGGCTTCTCTGATAATTCTGTAGCTGACATTGGGCAGACCAATAGAAGAATAAGTACCCACCTAGATGAACACAAAAATGCAGTAAAAAAGCTGGAACGAACTTCCTAACCAGTCCAACACATGAAAGCCACAGGTCATAGCATCGACTTCAATGGCACCAAAACCCTAGCCACTATAGAAAACCCCAGCCACAGAATTATCCCTTCCAAAGTCAACAGCAGTGAAGACAATTGTACTACCATTGATTCTATCTTCAAAATGCCTTGGAGGGATGGGTAGTAGAAACAGTTGTTGCCATTGGAAAATGCAGTAGAGAAAAATTGAATAGGGCATTTTAACTACACAGCTATCTCTCCCCTTCATGGTTTTGAAGACAATTGTTTATTTATTGATCCCTCCACCCCCACCCCAGTACCCTATAATAGCACAGATACATATCTCTAAGCAGTTTGCAAAGAATGGAATGGAATGGAATAGAATGGAATTCTTTATTGGCTAAGTGCGACACGCGAGGAATTTATCTCTGATGCATACGCTCTCAGTATACATCCAAACAACAAACTGATGGGTCATAGATCATAAATCATAGTTACAATCATTAATCATAAGATACAAACAACAAATGATGAATCGTAAGATATCAATAGGAGAAGACTGTAGGAAAGATGAGAAGATGAGAAAGGATGAGAAATGAGAAGATCAGAAGATCAGAAGGATGATAGCAATACAGCCTACAAAAAGGATAAATATATTTAAACCTAAGACAGTGCTGTGGGAATTAGGTGTTCAGCAGAGTGATAGGGGAGAGGAGCAGGAGGAAAATGTCACTATGCTTAAAAAAAACTGGACACATGGAGAAATACATCCGAATTTAGGTGGGTAAATGAATCCATAGAGCAACTAACTTATAAAGGTGACAGTGAGATAGCAGTTAATGTAGATCATTACAACTTAGTTGGTAAGTTACCTATTAATACATATACAATGTATTTTTGTTACTTCTAATTAAACTGCAATTATGGTTAATAGAAGTGAATTTTTAAAAATGTGAAGTATTACATACTAAGGATTGGCTATCTAGCTGATAATAACACGCTTGTCTCAATCATTGCAATGCAGAAACCTAGTGTGTGTTCAAATATAACCACAAAATTCTTGTATAAGGGTAGTTTTTACAGATTTTATTGGTGCAGTTCAATGTTATCTTCACATTTGCAGATGAATCCAGATCAGTTCCTCTTCTGAAAACCCTTTAGCTCAGGGGTCTTCAAACTTGACAGCTTTAAGAATGGTGGACTTCAACTCCCAGAATTCCTCCTCCAGTCATGTTAGCTCAGGAATTCTGGGAGCTGAAGTCCACAAGTCTTAAACTTGCCAAGTTTGAAGACCCTTGATTTAGCTCATCTTCTCTTTTAGTTCAGTTTCATCCACTGAAAGCAATGATGTTAGAAACCTCTGGGACAGGCTTATGATTCATCATAAAAAAACCAAAAAACCTTATAATAGCATTCTTGCAGGTACCAGCTGATCCAATGAAGCTTTATCACAACATCTATTTTTGCCTGGGTTGCAAAAAATATCTACCTTCTACTAGTTTTGCCATATCTGTTAGTTCTTGTACCATTGGCCGGTGTCGTCTGTGCTGCAAGCTGGATAATGAGGCTCGTAAGAGGGAATCATTTTTGAAGTACAAACGGATGCTTCGAAACCTCAGAGAGACTGAAATGAAATACAACGATGGTGCTAAGATCGCCTTTATACTTCAGGTATGCAGCGTTTAGAAGATAACGATATGAAAGAAAAAGATGTGGAAGTCATAAAACTGATAGGATTTTTATTGTGTTAATACAGTCCTAAAGAAATAGTTTGAGTACAGTAATCTGGATCTTGCCTCTTATAGTTTTACTGGACATAAAGAAATTCAATGCTCCAATTCATTGGAGCATTTGTAGTTTCAGAATCTCTTGCACATGGTTTACATCAGAGCTGATGTCACTACTTTCTATAGAGATTCAACTTAACTTCCTCATAAATGGCTTTTTACCTAATTTAAACCTCAAGGCAATAAGTTGACCCTGAAACTGACCTGGCGGAAGCTATATTGAAGTTTCAGTGTTGCCCTACTTGAGCTGAGGGATAGGGATGGAACAAACTATATAACTATGTGATATTATCTCATTTGCGATATATTTTCTCATAGTTAATAAAATCAGTCCTATAATTAAAATATAAATCATGAAATCATATTTATGTACTTATAATTTTAAAGCCAGTGTGATTTGCCAGCTATTTATATACTTTAAATACACCGTAGCATAATGCCACATGACTTAAGCTATACTAATATTGCTTATATGGGTTAGGACATTTTAGATATAAAATTGCCAAGTTCCAACCTGGAAATTCAAACTTTTAGTATATTTGCAAAAAAAAAAAGAGAGAGAGAGAGAGAGAGAGAGGAATTTAGTGGTGGTAGAATATTACAAACTTTGAATTTAATTAAGTACAATTTCTATTTGTGATTTCTGGATCATTAATTCTTTACTAACAGCATGGATTTGGGAAGTGGCTAGCAGCAAGAAAATGTTCTAACAGCAAGTTGATAAACATGCAGGCTGCCAAGACAGGAAACAGAAATAGCCATCTGCGTAAAAACCTTACCATAAACTTCTAAAAACTTGTATTTGAGGCAATGTGTCTTTTGGAATAAATAAACTGACTGTGTGTTATCACAGCCATTGCAGAAAGAATGAGAAAAGAGAAATAGTTTCCTTAAGAGCATTTCAATCTGTAATTAAAACGTAGCGACTACGTGTGGCATGCAATAATAGTCATGCAAAGCAACAACTTTATATACGTGGTAATTTTTTACATTAACTTTTCTGATTTCTTTTTTTCCTCTTGCTTTTATGTTGCAGCTGCAAGACTTGCACTACATGGTTGAACATTTCTGGGGTTCTCAGTCAGCTCTTAGCGCTTGGGATGATCTGTATGATTTGGTCATGGTTAGGTGGAATAGATGGCAAGAATGGTCTCCCTGGAACACTGTTCTCCTCAAAGAGGATGAAGCTGAAGCTCATCTTAAACTAAGTGATCTTGAGAAGGTACAAATTTAAATGGGTCACCCCACACAGATTAAATATGTATATTAATAAATAAATGCAATCCGGTAAAGGAGGACAAATCCCATAAGGGATGGCATGATTTAAATCCTTCAGATTCAATTTTAAAAAGGCACACAGGAACACAAGAGATACCGTAGCACAGAATTTGTGTTTCGTTATGCAGATGGTTTGACAGGTATTCCAGAATGGAATGTATACAGGTAGCTCTTGACTTAAGACCCCCAATTGGGACCAGAATTTCCATTGTTGGGGTGAGTTTTATGACCTTTTTGCCATGGTTCTTCAGCGAATATTACAGTTCAGTGAATCATGTGGTCATTAAGCAAATCTGGCTTCCCTAATTGACTTTGCTTGTGAAAAGCTAGCTGGAAAGGTCGCAGATACTGATCACATGACCCTAGGATGCTATAACCGTTGTAAATACATGCTGGTTTGCTCATGTGATCGTGGTGGGTATGCTGCAATGATTCTAAGTTTTTTTAGTGCCATGCTAACTTTGAATAGTCAGTAAACAAGTGCTTGTAAATCAAGGACTACCTGTTGAAGCCTCTGTATGTGTATATACATTTATATCATGTTGTTTATGAGAGCTTTTTAGTGTTTTGCATGCTCATTGCTTTGTATTAAGGAGCAAAAATGGGAAAATAAATAAATTGGTTGGTTTTTTTATTAGTATAATTTAATATCTCCCAGACTTGCAACAACTCTGGGTGGCTTGCAATTAAAAAATGAGAACACTACAAAAAAGGATTGGAGAAGAAGCTATGATTAGTCTGAAGACAGATTTATAAACAAAGGAAAAATAACTTTACCAACAGGGACTAAACCAGGGATGGGATTCTACCAGTTCACACCTATTCGCTAGAACCGGTTGTTAACATTCTAAGCAGTTCGGAGAACTGATTGTTAGAAGGAATTACTGGCCTAATCCTGTAAGGAAGGCAGGAAGGAAACATTCTGGTGTTGCTTACAGAAACTGCCTCTCTGTTAACCCTTATTACATTCTTGGCAGGACTAGACTTCCTGTCTCAGGAACGTCTCTGGAGTTTTTGTCCCCTCCTTTGCTAGTGCTTTGCTTGTGTGGAGGGACCATTCAAAGTTACAATGGCCCTGAAAAAAGTGACTTATGACCATTTTTCACACTTACAACTGTTGCAGCATCCCCACAGTCATGAGAGGCCAGGGGAGGAGAGGCGTGCCTCGATGTGATACTGAGTTGGCCACACCCAGCCAATAACATGACCACCAAGCCATGTCCACCCAGTCACATGACCACCAAGCCATGCCCACCACCTAAGCCACACCCACAGAACCGGTTGTTAAAAAATTTTGAAACCCACCCCTGGACTAAACTAACACCCACATCCCCCAGGCCTGGCAGAATAGCCAGACCTTTAATAGCCTCCTAAACATCATCAGGACGGAAACCATCTGAATTTCTGGGAATATTATTTCAGAGGGCAGACTCTGTGATAGAGAAGGCATACCTCCAGAGTCCTGCTAGATGACATGCTTAATTGATGGGACCCTAGTCTCGCTGTCCAGAAACAACCAAAGTCACATAAACCCCACAAATAACAAGGCTCCATATTACGAAGGGCTTTGTGGAGGAAAAACAGCATCTTGAATCATACCCTAAAGCCAACTAGTAACCAGACCAGTTCCCCAAACTGTGTGGTCATAACTTAAGGGCATAAAAAAACATGCCCATCACAACCTGCCTGCCGCATCCAGGACTAGCTGTATGTTCTGAGTTGTCTTCAAGGTGGCCCAATGCAAAGTACTATATACAGTAGTAATCCATTGATGAAATGACAAAGGAGAAACTGTTTGAAGCTTCTTAGTTGAAAAGTGAAATGTTTTCAAAGAAAAAAAAACCCGAGAAAATCCAGTTGCCTTTAGAAAACCAACTTTGGGATTCCAAATCAATTGTTTTCAAAAACTGAGCAAGAATTAATCACATCCTAATAACTTGTACCTGTGTTTGTTGTTAACATCTACAGTAGTTCTCTGTAAATGGTATTGCACCTCTGAGCTAAACAACCTCTAAGGGTTATCTTTTTTAAAACACAGGATGATTATTAGTTTTTTTAATTTAAAAATTAACCCCATTCATAATTTAAGGACCTGCTATATGCCAATATATAACCAATCAAAACATTTTCTATTTCTTTCTTTCTTTCAGGCTTATGAAAAGGTGTTCATTCACAGAGTAAGGCACAAACAAATGCTTGCAAGGAACTATTTCTCTCAGTTCCCAGGGCTGGCAGCTGTTCTTCATAAAAATGACAAGCAAACTAACACAGAAGATCTTTTAGTAACAAAGTCTGTAACAACTGCTTCATCAAAGTAACGTTAAAGGGAACTTTAGAACAGTTTTCTTAAAAGAAGAGAAAATTGGCCTGATCATGAGCTTAAAGAATGCTTGCTTGCATGTCTTGGATTTTTCTTTAAATTGCATTGCCAACATTCAGCTTAGACCTTAATTTCCAATTCATTATTGTTATACTGCACTTGCCTCTTTCACATATACCTTTTTGGTATACAATAAGCTTTTGGAAGAATATATTGTTTGCTCCCCTTTAGTCATTTTTCCTTTTTAAAGAAATAATATTTTGACACCCTAGCCAAGTCTTAAGTAACAATTTTAAAATACAATTTTGAAATAGAGAGAAGCTGTTTTGTTTTCAAGAATGCCTGCATGAAATTTGTTACATATTAAAGACCTTACCTTTCTTAAAGAGATGCTACTTTGATACAAAATAAAATGGAGTAATTTTATGTGTGTGTGTGTGTGTATCTTTCTTTCTTTCTTTCTTTCTTTCTTTCTTTCTTTCTTTCTTTCTTTCTTTCTTTCTTTCGGCCAACACTATCTCTTTTTATTGTATCACAGCAGATTAGGTATAATATAATTTATTGAGGCAACAATGAAAAAGGATGTCAGAGGTTATTCATTTTTTCTGACCTTTATTCTCTCTATACTAATCATCAACATCTTAGAGAGTAAATGCAAATAGAAGGCATGTTAAAGACATCTAAAAGATTTATAATTATTTTGTGTGGTTTTCATAATGTTTATACTAATATGAACATAGACTAATACCCTGGTTCTTCGCTAGCCCAATTTATACATATTACATAATAGATAATTTTTAATTGCTGGAAGCATCAGAGTAGAATGTGGACAATTGCAAGGAGGAATCAAATCTATTCAGTTGTATAAGCTTCATAAATATTACCAGCAATTGCATAAAGTATCATAAAATTGTGTTCAGATATTGGGCACCATGATTTATTTGGAAAATATTTTTCAAATTTCATTGCAGGAAAAGATCACTGCTATTTTAGAAAAGTGCACAGACATTGCGTATATCCAGCAAACTATTTGATGTGTTTTTCCTTGAAAGCTAAAGTTTTGCCAAGTACAACCTGCCTTTAAAGTTTCCCTCAGAAGTGTTTATATTAATGATACCAATAAGGATTCATCATTATTAACAATTTAGTCAGGGATAGACCATCATGATCAATGTTCTCACAAAGTGACTCTCTTGATGGGTCAACAATAAAACACTTTGTCATCAGAAGGCAACGTGGTAAAATTCCTTCCTACACTTTTCCCTCAAAATGCTTTTATTTTTCTCTCCCCGCCCCCCTTTTTCCCCCTGGACAGTCCAGCAGACTTGCAAACAAAAGACTGGCACAAATAATCCATTTCTCCCCACTATGTGAATCCAGAGTCATTCCTGTAAATCATATTAAGGTAGAGGCAATTACTTTGTTTTGCAATGTGCCAGCTTTCTATTTAATTAAAAGAACCTGTAAACAATTATAATCAGAGGAGGTAGGCACCCTGCTGACTGCTAAGTGATGCATCCAAACACATTGGTGTCATAAGTATTATCTTGCCTTCCTCTCATTTAGGCCCATTTGGGAAATATACACGAGACAAGTTAACAACCACAACCTAACATCAGGGCAACTTAATTGTCTTTTCCTGTTTCTGTGATATCTACTTAATATGTATCAAAATTTTAAATTATAGAGCAAGAACTTTACCAAATGTTGGTTGGCTGCCTTTGCACACTACATTTTTCTGCTCCTTGGGAACAATTCTTATGTGACAAATTCAGAGGAATAAAATTCCTGATTTAGAAAATACACAACGAAAGGGCCTTTTTGTGTATGTGGTATTCTGCTGATGTTTGGGTTACACACAAAAGTCTGTGTTACTTTATACTGACATCTTCATCCAGCAGACCTACACATTTGCCATTACTGTATGTCCACTAACCATTTTATAATAAACAACAATAATAAAGACCTTTTGTGTAAGAAAGCAAAACAAAAATTGTTTCCATAGAAAACTAATAAAAATACCACAAATTATTCATGACATTCATTGGACTAATAAGTTTGCTATAATTACATGTTGTGTTTATCTTTTTCTTGAATTAACTAAACTTTTAAAGATTTTCCTAGGAAAAGAAATTATTGGGTTTAGCCTGGAATATTTAAGAAACAGCCTTTTGCTTTTTGTAAGATGCAACAGAAAAATCACTGTAAAGAGCACTTTAAATGAAGTATTTACATGTCAACAATGTAAAGTTTTGAAATACAACTTACATATTGACCAGAGTGAAGGGAGAACTATATTTTGGCAATATATAAAGTATATATTGCCAAAATATTCTTTAGATGATTTACTGGATTCTCTTGAGGATGTTACCAGATTTGTCTTTTATCATTTTTCTTTCTTTCTTTTCTTTCTTTCAATGTAGGTTAAAATGGGCATTATAATTCATTTACAGTTAAATGATCAGTCATACACAGGATTAGGTTCTCCTTTCCTCATTCATAATGACACTTGGAAGAACTGCTATATATTTGCAATGTCAAACCAGCAATGTTTTCAATAGGAATATGAATGAATTTTGCCTAATACACACATACCTTTCTCAAAACCAAATAACTGCTTTTATGGGGTTCCTATTGAACTTGCCAGGTATACTATATAAAGGGAGACCCTGTTCTAATATCACCATTTGAATGCATCATTTTATCCAATGTATTGGACTTAGCATGGGTGTTTCTGACTCTGAAAAAAATACAGTTAGCTGAGAAACAATTTGGCAGCATTTTAATTGCCAAATATTCAGAATAAACCTGGATGCTTAAGCACAAAGACCTCAAAACAAGTGCTTACTGTGTTTTGCATTCACTTCTTAGCATAATGTACAGTGTAACATCTGCTTAATTAGGACTTTCATTTATCAAATGTGGCTATAAAGGAAATAATTGGTTAAGTACAAATGTTCTGCATTATTTAGATTTTCATTTTAGAACTATGAAAATTGAAACCTAAACACAAATGTAATCACTTAAAAGTATTTCAGAATCTATTTAATGTTGCGATGAAATCTGGTTTTGCCAGCTATATTTTATATTATACATCTTTTAAAAAAGTAAAAAATATCCATAAACAATCAATTTTTACAGCAACACCTTTGTTATCCAAATTTAGGATAATTTTGTCATTGTATCATATGGATTTGATGTCAACAAACATTTGCAGACAAAATAATTTGCATTAGGAATGTAAACACAGCTGGAGAATATGTCAGTATCCAAAAAAGTATTTGCAAAATAATTTCCTTTTTCATCTAATGCACTTCAATTCTGAAAGTTGTGATTAAGTTTGCAAACTCTGGAAAAACGAAATTCTGGCAATTAATTCTGAGTCTCCACCACAGCAGGCTGCCCCACCTATTGCCTCAAAAAGCTAAACAGAGTAGACCTGATTAATACTTGCAGTGGATAATGTCAGTAATTGCAGACTGAGGAGCTGAGGAGGAGGAGGGGGAAGTAGGAGAAGAATGGTAACCCAATTTTATATCAGGTACATGATCGGACTTGTTGCTTTTATAGGAGCAGGGGATTGGAGGAGATGTCCTCCAAGGTCCCTTCCAGCTCTGTTACTGTTACTGTCCTTAGTTGTTTTTTATGCAGACATTTCATTACCCAAACTAGGTAACATCCGTGCCAGTAAGGAGTGGGGTTTGATAGTCCTTACTAGCATTGATGATGTTCACCTAGTTTGGATAATGAAACTTCCGCATAAAAATAACTAGGAAATTTCAAGTGCCCCCCTCATTTCAACCCTGAGCTACACGTATTCTCTTATATTCTTGTGGATATCAGGAAGTGAGTTAAACTCAAAGATGTCTTTATCTTTTAGTGTCATTCCTAGGTGAAAGCCCAAGTGAAAATGGGATGGCCCATTTAAGGATGGATTGCATGTGCTTGTAATTCATTTCCTACTTAACGTTCATTCCAAACATTATTTTACAATATGTTCCCTACATAATCACAACAGATTATATACATGGTAATCACACGTACATCACTGCAATTCACAGTATCCAATTCAAGCTAGAAATCATCTTCAAACTTCCTCAGCTGAGCTGAGCCTAGGCACCAATAATGATAAGTACTAAGTGAAGGATTCATAAGTGATTCAATTAACAGCAGAAATAAGGCAAATGTAATTTTTTTTTTAAAAAAATGATTGATTTTGGTTGGATAGAGAATATCCAGTCACCTTTGCAGTAATAAAAGTGAATAAACCTTGTGGTGATTTTAGTTTACAGAGGATAACCTCAAATGCTTGACAATCTCTTCTGAGTTGGGAAGAACATGTGGTGTTTTATCTGTGGTGCTGTGGTTAGAATGCAAGTACTGCAAGGCTTAACTCGCTGCTCCAGAAGTTCAATTCTGAGCAGCTCAAGGTTAATTCAGCCTTCCAGCCTTCCAAGGTCAGTAAAATGATGACCCAGATTGTCGGGGGCAATATGCTGACTCTGTAAACCACTTAGAGTGGGCTATAAAGCACTGTGAAGTGGTATATAAGTGCTCTTGCTCTTGCTATACTCTCTTTATGGCCAGTAAATAGTACTTTGGGTGATTTAGCAAGACAGAATTTTAGTAGAAGAGGTAGCCTGCTGGGATCTTCTATCATATGAAATGGAACAGAAGAACTATGAGGACAGGTTTTATTGAAATAATACATTTTTTAAATCAGCCTAGAGATGTTATATAGCACTGTCTGTCTTATATGACCTATGTTTGTAAGTGTTACAGCAGCATTTACTATCGTATCTTCTGTATTTTATTTCACTCCGATTTCATTCTCCATAGCTGCACACAAAAAAAACCAGGTGTATATTTCGGGAAAGTGTTTTGTGTATTTGATAAACAAGGAGCATCAACGGAGGGTTGAAAAAGATTGAGTTGATGGCTACAACTCCATGGTTTAAGTCCATAACCTTTTATCTGTGCTACCATTTTGACCTCTTCTTCCCCGCCATAACGTTCCTGTGAAT